GGTTGTTGTCGGTTCTGACCTCAAACTTTGCACCATACAGATAGTCGTGTAGCTTGTCAACCACGGCCCACTTTAAAGCAAGGTATTCCAGCTTGTGTGCCGGATAGCGACATTCGGATGGAGTTAGGCTGCGACTAATGAAAGCCACTGGTCTGAGCCCTTCACCTTGGTCTTGGTATAAAACTCCACCAAGCCCTTCTCGACTTGCATCAATATGTAGCACATAGGGTAACTGGGGATTTGCAAAAGCCAGCACCGGAGCATTTGTTAGTCTCTGTTTTAACTCCTCGAAAGCAGCTTCGCATTTGTCATCCCACCGGCATCCAAATGGCTCTGATGGGTTGTATGGGTATGTCTGTTCGTGCTTTTTCTTAAATCTTTTTGCATTAGGTGGGTAACCAGACAGGAGTTGGTTCAGAGGGAATGCAACTTTGGAATCATTTTTGACAAAGCGTCTGTAGTATCCACAGAATCCGAGGAAACACCCCAATGCATCACCACAAAGACAAAACACGCTCTGGCAAACAAAAGAAATCAACACTGATTCTGTGAATAATTAGATTACTACACATGGAAGGAGAGTGGATGAGTTTTTGATATTCTTCTTGTATTAGGCCAATTTTAACAAATGTATACAAAGAACAACATGGGACAACAAAATGGTGTATACTGTATAATATGATAGACCCTAAAATTAACACATTAAATTCAAAAATTTGCTTGATTGATAAACACGCGGTCATGTCTCTGTGTTACATTTTGCATATTTGACATCTGTAATAATCCATGCAATAATCAGTGCAAACCTATTACCTCTGGGATGGTGAAGGTAGGTTCTGAGGAACGATCTGACCTCATCGTCGTCATCAAAGATGGCCCGGGGACAGACACATTTTTGTTCTGCATGGTGTCTATCCCATAACCAAAGGCCTGAATAGCATTTCCTGCAGCGACAGAGAGATAAAATCATTTGTTTTTTAAACCATCTAGCTGTCAGACTGCTTTAAGTCAACTTTTTGGTCCCCTGCCAAATCTTTGGCAAAGGAGGGACTGAGGGTGGAGAAGGATTAAGAAAGCAAAAAGAGTACAGTAAGCTGTCTCTGGGAGGCCACATAGCATTTTACTGCCTTACTTTTAATATTTTAGGCCATGCCTTCCTTTTGAATGTCTAACATGTTTATAATATCAGTTTAGTTAGTAATTACCCTTCAATACAAATACAAACAACTTTGGTTCACACCCTTGTCTTATGTTGCAACAGCCATTCTGAAATTGTAACTAACTTGACTGAATAGTGGCATAATATCTGCACTTGAGATGCATCTTTTAAAAGCAGCTAACCAGTCAGCTCAAACAGAGTACAGCTGTCTGTGAATTGTGTATCCACCTGCAGATGCACTCTATGCATGTACATAATATGTGTTATTTGTGTCTAAGTGCATGTGTGAGCCTCAGCAAAAATATGATAAATCCCTGTTCAGTGAGCTTTTCAGCCAGATGTGGTAAAATTGAGGCTGAGTACCTTTTCACTGCTCATCCGATTAAAACACAAGGCTTGTTTCTCTTTGTTCAGCCAGAGAGAAGGCAAGGCATGTAATTGCTTGGCAACCACCTCCATTATAAGGTCAGCATGCAGAGATAACTTTGAATAGATTTATGTGACTGATCAAATTCAAAACATTCCCAAACAAAGAAGGCGTTTCCCCACCACCACACAAAGGACAAATAGGATAGTTGGAACACATGTATAATCAGATGGACACACAGTACTCCTGATGTATAGGTACATCGATTTGTCTCACAATCCTCTGTCCACCTACGCAGTCTCTCACAAGTGTACATTCTGCACAACAAAACACACGCAAAGGCACATACACACACATATGTGCACACAAGACATATGAAAATACATTTGTTTGTGCTTAACACTGCTATATGTGCTGCTACTGGAAATTTAAAGCAAATGGAAACAGAGAATTCACTAGTGAATCCTAATGATGCCAAAACTACCAGTGAAGAGCTGGTAAAGTACTACTGAGACGTGATGCTACACATCTGTATGCCAGGGTCGGCTATAGCTAGCTATCCCCCTATAGATGCTGTAAGTAGGGGGAACAAATTCATAAATCAAACTAGTTGGCTAGAGGGCCTCCACACAGGACGTTTTACTGCACCCAAATGTTCATCTGAGTCATTAAGCTTATTGCCTATAGCAATTCAATTTTTGAATGACTGAATGTGTTTTCCTTTAACCCCTAGCCGTTGCCTGCATTGCCCTACCTGCAGGGACAGATGGAGTAAGAGATAAGGTAGGGGAGGAAGAAAGACAGAAGGAGAAGTAAATCAGGTTTCCAACTACGTTTTTGCTATAATTATATCCTTTCAGCTGTAACGTTTTCTGCTGGCCTCCCCACATATTTTAGCTGAACATGTATTCTAAGTATTTCCCTCTTCCTTTGCTTGAACTTGTAAGGAAAGCTGGGGAAAAGCATGTAGAATGTAAATGACTTGCATAACACATAATACACTGCAGAAAGTAGATGTGTGTGTGCATATATATGGACACACACATCTACTTTCTGCAGTGTGTGTGTGTGTGCAGATAGATAGATAGATAGACGTATATATTTCAGTATTCAGACCTTGTCCTCTTTTACAGCTTTGGGTCTTCTTGGGCAAGTCTCTACAAGCTTTGCACACCTGGATTTGGGCAGTTTATCCCATTCTCCTTGGCAGATCCTCTCAAGCTCTGTCAGATGCTCAGAGCTTTAGGAGTGGTTTTATATCCTTTGCCTGATCTATGCTTTGCCCCAGTTTTATCTCAGAGGTCTACAGAAAGCTCATTGGCTTGGTTTTTCTCCTGACATGATGTGTAAATTGTGGGACCTTATATACACAGGTGGGTGCCTTTCTAAACTATGTCTAATCAATTCAGTTTGTCACAGGTGGACTCCAGTCAAGTTCGAGATATGTATCAAGGAACATTAAAGCAAACAGGATGCATCTGACCACAACTTGGAGTGCCACAGAGAACAATCTGAATACTTTTGCAAATGAGATAATTGTTTTGGATTTTTAACAGACATAGACAGACAGACAGATAGGTAGACAGACACTCACACCCTCATATACATAAAGCATATATGTATACACGTATACACTGAAAGAATGTGTTTTTGAGTTCATTCCCCTCCCTGGCGTGTTGAGGTGTATTGGAAAGCCTGTTCCTCTTGACTGCAGAGTGGAAATACTGCATTTTGTGTTATTTTTCAAGACGCCTCCTCACCTCCCAGCCTCATCCCTCATCCTGCACACTCAGCTAAAACTGTACCACAGCAACCTATTGAAATAGTCTGAAAACATTACACACACAGTGGTACATGTTAAAGGCAATGGTGTCTTGTAAGGCTGATGACACTGTTCCCACCGCCACAAAGGGAAGGAGCTCTTTATATTTTACTTATCATTTTTAAAAAAGGCAAATGGATATTTGAGGTAACCACTCTGTCATGCTGCACCTTCTGTGTTACAGTACGCATTAGATGTACAGATAATATGTATTTTAGCTTCCCATATTATTTCATTTGTGCTATATCTGTTCCTTTTCATGACACTTTTCTCCCCTGAGGGACAAGCCCTTGAACTCTTGCAGATTGAATGTGAAAATGACATGCAAATGCTTTCTTTTGTATTAACGTCTGGGCAGAACTTGCCCAAAGGAGGGATGAGACAAGATAAGAAATTACTCGTTTCTGGAAAACTAAGAACATTTAATTCCAACTTAATCAGCGGGCAAAGGAGTGTCTATGATAAGTTGTATCAAGCTATGTAGCAGACACATTTTCATTAGGACTTCAAGAAGTTCCATCCATCCATTCACCCATAAATTTTTATACAATCCCTTTGGCTTTATTTCATCCTTTGTCATAACCAAAGAAATTAAAAAAAGTATTGTCAGTATAATTTAGATTAAATTAGTTCAATAAAATGTAAATTAAGTGAAATTTCTTTTGGCATTTTAATAACTCGGTCTCTAAAATATGTAGTACCCCCACCTTGAGCCTCACCCCTCATTATTCTGCATTCAGCCTCCCCACCATCCACTCCTCAATAACAACAGATCCACAGTGATCTCACAGGAGAGCTCAACAACACTGAAAAACAGAATTTTGACATGAAACCATTAAAATTGCATTAGATCAAAGTTCAGAGCCCACTCTACTCTTACATGGCAGCAAGAGTAAATACTGCATCATACGTTTGAGCTCTTATCGATAATGCATGACCGCTGGACCCTTTTCAGTTACAAGAAACATTTCAGATGCATGCAGAGTATCCATAAGGTGGGATGGCTCACTTAAGCATGTGTTATTGGTGAAGTACTGCAGGAAGTTCATACACTCCTCTTCTTGGTTTCCACTGCCTTTACAAGTGCACCATGGGGAGATGGTCCAGTTGACGAAGCTGCTGTCAACATAGTTGGGAGTCATGTCTGTCCCTGTGAGATTATCCACACACAAACACACACACAAACACACACACACACACATACATTAGAACAAACAGTTATGGGTCACTAATGGACAATAATGGACTACATTTATAGCAAATATAGTTATATATAAAATGGACAGCAAGATGTTGGTCATCCAAATTACTTTGTATTGTCTGAGTTTATGGGAAGGTGAGGCTGTAATGCTTTATTTTAGATGTAAAGAGGCCATTATGTTTTGAATATTTTGTAGCTGCTGTAAGAAGTGTGTGTGCTGTTTCAGTATTGCACTAGTATACTAAATCATTTTACTTTTCAAATGTCTCTTTGTGTCAGTGCTTTCAGCTGGAGTCAGGGGTGTTAGATACACTTTGAGTGTAGCATTTTCCAGAAAAATCCAAAAAGCACCATGGCATATTATCACTTCACACGTCATGATTTATGACACATGGTGAGGAGGCACTGGTGCAGAAATATGCATTTGGAACTCTGCAAGTTCTCTGATGCTGCTGCATCATCACCAAGGTGCTGTTATGAAACAGTGGCTGTGAATGAAAAATATTCATGTACTAGCCTGTGCATATTGTCTGAGCAACATTTACTATAAGCAAACAGATGGCTATGGAGTGTTTTAATTAAGTAAACACTCTCTCCGTGCCTCTACTCTCTAATTACTTTTAATAATGAACTGATGTCCAGTGTGCTCGGGGAGATTTCAGGCCATGAGGTAAAAAAAGAGTATCTGGCAGACTGTCTCTTCTTTCTCCTTGTAACAGTTACTCTTTATCTCACCATGTTTCTGAAATTTAACAAAAACACTGTGGCATTTGGAGATAACTGTGCATTTTGTGTCTCACCTTTTCACTCCCAATCTCAAACATACAGTACAACCACTCTTTCATTCCATCAGAGTGTCAACCACAGCCCTGACTGTACTGACCGATGAGCCTTGCATAGGAGGCCAAGCAGGCTTGGTGATTGTCTTGGTTGGGACAGGTGCTCACTGTGTGTTGAGTCATAACACAGTTCACCATGTAGTCAGCCAGCCTAGACCTGCACAACAAACATGAAGACAGCACAGACAGAAAAAGAGACTCAGGGCTCAGTTGTAAACTCACAGTACATCACACAGAAACACACACATAAACATACATACACAAATTCAAAGCACTGGACCCGTTTTACTCAAGAGCAACTGCCAATTGTGACCAGAATCAAAATCGGAAAGTATGTGCAACATTTCTTCCCAGGACTCCATAACAAGTGACCTGAATAGTAAACAGGTCTCACTCATGCTGCAATAACAACTAGCTATTTAGTAAATTCACAGCATGCAGCATAAACCCAATGGTAGTGCATTTATATAAGGATGAGAATGATACGCCTCCTTTGGCCATAGCCTCCATACTTATCCTGGACATCTCAACTCTTTCCTAAACTCATTTCCCTGCAAACTGAGGCAACGGAACTAAAGTAGTTTGTTTTGTTTCGGTGTGTGTTTCTGATAAGAGCTTTAAGTCAGTGGAGGCCCCCAGGGTGCCACTGCTAATCCACTTAAGTAGGTTTATTGGCAGTAGCATGTGCAAAGTTGCTCTGTCTGTACTGTTTACATCACAGTTACCTACTAGGTGAATCACAGTCCATTGCACATTTATCTCTCTCGTTCTGTCTCTGTGTCATAACTCATTCTCTCCGACCTGGTCTGAACACTTTGCAGCCTCAAGTTCAAAGGTAGCGTAAGGTACCGCAGACTGTCTTGTCCTAACATTATAAACACAAAAACATCTTTAGAAGGTACAGTTGACTGAATGTGTTTTCTAACTGGCTGCAAATTATTGGGTAAGTCAGTACCTGATAAACAACAGTTGCTTTGACTCGTATTCATGTATGATAAGTGCTCTAATAGTCTTGTCTTCTTTCAGTCTGTTAGATAATCTTTGCTAAGGTTATAGTTACTATGGCTGCTATAATTTGTTATGGTGTTGTCTAAAGACTGCTATGAGTCAGTATTTTAATAGCAATTGTTAGATTGTCACACATTGTAATCACCAGAAACAACTCACCATCCAAGCACCAAGCAGAGCACTAGCCTTTATCTGAAGCTACTGATTTTGATGCTCCTTTATAAAACAGTATTTATGTTAATTAACTCCCCTCAGTGCCAAAGTCTTTTTTGTTCACTTTCTCTTTCACTTCAGTGACGAGGGTGAGAATTTCTTCATTAGGATTTTTCACCAGTGTAATTCTAACACTCCGCTTACAGTGGAGTCGTGTGTTTTACTGTAACCAGATTTTTTATTAACTTATTGTCTTATTTATCTAGACACTTACAGTACTTATACTGTATTTACTAAGCAGGTTGTCAGATGCATCTACAACTTTGCATTCATGCGGTGAACAAGATATTCATACCAAACAAAGCGCTGGTGGTGCGCACTGCTACGTGTCACAACAGTGTCAGGTGGAGTGATGTGACAAAAACATACATACTTCCTTGTCTTTAAATATGCAGCTGTACTACATATTATACATTATACAGTGGCAGTACTTGATCACTTATTCATCATTTTGTGCTTTTTTCATAAGGTTCTAGAGTAATTGGATTAGATGAGATGCACTGTTATGATAATGGGCCACATTTCCACTTGTGGATCTGCAAACAGATAATCAGGGGGGCACTGTCATTCAGGAAACTGAGAGAGAAGGGTACATGTGATTATGATACAGTCTCTCAGGCAGTTCTTTTGTTGTTGCAGTGACTTGTTGCAAGGTGCTACTGGAAACAAGTGGATTTGGCTGAGGGGAATAAGGGGTGGTGATTGAACAATCTCTCTGTCTGTGTGTGTCTCTCTGTCTGTTTTCACTGTGGGTTCACCAGAGATGCAGCCAGTGTGGTGTGATAGACTTGGACCTCCAGCAACAAGAGTCACTTCATTACTCCACACACCCTGCTATCAAACCACCTGGAGAGCCTCTCCTTGTGACCTGCTGCTAACATCACATCTCAAACCTCACTTTGAAAAATGGGACAAATGCTTGCTCTACCATGGCCGCAAAGCTTGACACAAATGCACTGTACACACATGTACACATTCAAACAGTAACACACAGTACATAGTGTTAATCCACACAAAATGGACATATGCACAAACACAAATCTATCCCTCTCCACACCTGTCCTCCTCACACAAAACTCTCTCTCATTCGTTCGTGTTCAGTGACAGAAAGCACTTGTACCCACACTCATGCCATAGATGATAAAAAGATACAACAGAAAGAACAACTCTATTGTGTCTATTAAAGCAACCTTTAAAGCCACATTTCCTGTTTTTTATTTCTTATGGACAAAGTCTTTTACCTTTGTGCTAACAAGGAATGTTAGATTTCTGCACGAAAAGGCAAAGACCACAGAAGAAAAGAAACTGAACAAGCACAGTGTTTCTTTTTCGAAGTGGAGCTCTTTCAGACAATGACGGCTTAAAAACAGTAATTTAAAGTTTAGAGAGGTGTCCTGAGTGTTCACACAATGGTGTTCCAACACCGGGATGCAGCACATTTCATAGCTTCCAAAGGCTTTCCATTATACCTCGGCGAAGCGCCACTCGCTGCTGAAATTACAGGCTGTCTAGCTCAACAGAGTTTTATGGTCATTTCAGCCACTCAGCCCCCAGGGAAGTGGCAGGGGTGCCCCCACAGAGGTAGACTTCTTTCAACCAACCTGACACTTTAAACACAGTGATTCGGCTGAACGCTGAGTGCCTGTCCATCCAGCTTGGCAGTAATAGAAAACTAATGGCTTTTTATATGGATTCTTATTCCTATCACTTGATGCCTGTGACAAACAATGTGATTGAAATCAGATGAGTGTCAGTCTTGGAAACCATTTCCTCATGAAGGAGAAGAGGCAAAAAGAAAAACAGTTATCAGGCTCCAAGGTCCTCTAATAGTTTCCTTTCTGCATTAAAAACAATAGTCTCTCGAGAAGCCTATCTGAGTTAGGGACTTCCCCTCTATGCTCTCTCTACAAATATGAGTTCTTCAACGAATGATCATTTCTGTTAATGTGGAAGTATGGCTCTTGGCTCTTATTCCCTCCCTCAGCCTTCAGCCCAGAGAGGCTATAAATCATATCTCACTCATCTACGGAAACCATGACATTAACCATGACACAATAGCTGCCAACATAATAGCAGTCATGTGAAGCAAATGTGAAAAAACAAAAAGATGTTTCTCTTTGCTATGCTTTTTTCCCCCCTGTCTGTTATGTCCTCTGACTTTATCTCTCCTCTCCCATCATTAATGTTCTGCTGTCATTGTTGTATAAACCAATTGTTGTTGCAGCCTTAACTGCTCATGTGCAAACTCATGGCGAGGTAATCTGACCCTGTCTCAATCAATTGGACTCAACAACATTGCGGGGCCCGTTGTCCTTTGATGTTAAATGCCAGAGCGAACAATGGGGCTTGGCAGAGCTGAAATTTTACTCTCTTTTGGCAGCAACATAGCGAATTATGTCACTGCCATTATTATGAAAAGCCAATGCAGCACTGACTTTCTCAGTGGAGTGCTCTGAATTTATTTCTCTCAGATATATTTTTTCCACTAAAAAACACTCTTCAGTGTCTTGTAATTTCATCGGCTATGGTGGCATTTTGCTCTTGCTTTCCCACCTAAATTTCTGCCGGTGACCCTGACACAGTTTCTCTGTTGCTCTGGTCGGAGGTGATTGTTCATTTTTCCCACTGATATTTTCTCCTGAATGTTTCCTCAGCAGATAGAAACCAGCATTTTGATGTACTACTGTACTCATTGGGATTTCCAGTCAATGCTCCAAAAGGGCAATGTGGACAGATGGCATTCAGTCAAGACAAAAGGCAGTTTAGCTTTTCTGTCACATGCCGCAACCTTTCACCCCCTCCCTCAGCAAAGAACTGAAAACAACAACAACTGTTGGGTGACACAACCTCCCCTGCATTATTACAGTAAACAAAGCAAAAGACAAGCAACAATCTGAACCTTCTTTTTCATTTAATTAACCTGCTTTATTTTGAAACACTTATTCCAGCATGATTACTATGCTCCTTTCCTTGCTTGGTGACCAGAAAATTGGCTTGCAATTCTTTCTTTTTTTTAACTTTCTCTCTTTTTCTCACTTTCTGTTTCTCTGCTTCTGAATCACCCACTGCAGATGTCTTACAACCCCCTGCTGAATGTTATGTTATTAGGATGAATGCTAAATCAAGCATGCTGCACACAAAACCCAGCACTGTGTGCTTGGTGAGGAGTGAGTAGATCATTGAAGGTTATCTGTACTCCTTAAATACTCTCTGAACAAGGCAAACAGCCATCCCCTCAGACAAAGTGTACACATCAAACAAATAGATGAACTGTACCTAAAAAGTGGCAGAGTTGGCAATATGCTGCAGAACAGTTATAGCAAGTAATTAAATAGCTATTAGTCATATATCAAGTGATTCTGTCGGAAAAACTTAAAGAAATGCTGCAGCTTTCAGTGAGACTCCTTCAGTACCAAGAGATGTTCAGAGTAAGAATGATAAAGAGTGAAAGAATAGACTCTAATTGACACATTCAAAACCACATATCAACCATTCTTTAGCTAAGCCTGGAGCCCTATTCATATAATGTTTGCTTTAATAATAGATACAGTACCACTGGAGGAAGATATTGTGAAGGAAAGGATGAGGCCGAGGCAGTCATGACTGCAGTTTTCCGCTATATCATGTTCCCTTAGAGACCGCAGTTAGGAAAGTCAATGTGCATGTACTAATCCACGTTTAAGAATTAAGTGCACTACTCTCTCTTTCCAGTTCCTGCCCCATTCCTCTCAGTGCTTCTCTTCCTCTCCCCTTACCCTGTTTCCTGCTCTCATGTAGCCAGCAAGCTGAGCACGTACTCACCGAAGCTAAGTCCTGATTAAAGTCGCACACTGCAGTATACTGTAATATGTATGAGGAAAAGGTCACCAATTGACACATGCTTTGTTTGCAAAACCGGAGCTTTACACTGTCAGAAAAGGCATTTCTCTCTCATAGCTTGCATTGTGACCAGGAAGACTGAAACGGTCCAGGTATTGCCTTGAGCACAGACTTTAAAAGTAAGTAATGGAAATCTGTTTTATTTTGTGTGCTTTATATTTCACTTCCACCTTTCTTCTCTTTTTTCAGTGAACCCCCCCCAAAACCTGTTTGCTAGGTGCACAGCACTTACACAACAGCAGTAATAATGCACTTGTAATGGTTAACTCCTTGTTCACACATAGAGATGTGCACATTTTTAATAGCAGGCTGCCCGTTGCCCCCATGACTCTGTTGTTTAGGATGTACAATATTTGTGCTAAGCATGTAATTTACAGTACATACTTAGCTCTGATAAACGTATTTAATTAAGTAGAACATTTCTTTATTCATCTGTTTCCATGTAGATTTTTTAAAACCTGGTTGCTCATTGGAGAACACCGGTGTGAACAAGAGATTAGAAATGGTTTAGTGACCAGAGAATATATTGAAAATCCTCACAAGTATGGTACAAGAGCACAAGTGTGTGTGTGTGTGTGTGTGTGAGTGTGAGTGAAAGTGAAAGTGAGGAAAGAAAAGTGAGAAAAACTGATGATCAACAGCATCCTAGTTTCTTTGCTCATTGTCTCAGATACTGCAGAGTAATGCCATCTGGGCCAGTCATTCTCCCTGTCCTGTTCCTCTTCACTGAAGGCTTGAGTTGTCAGATACAGCAGAGCAGACTGTTGATTTAGGACAGTATGTGTGACAGAGAGAGAGAGAACCGGAGTGTGTAGTACCCTGCAAGTTTTCTCTAAGCAAAGGCAGCCTGATAAATCTCCCAAACTGGGTCAGGTTACCTGCACAGTGAATGGCCACCTCTCAGCTTCACAGTTTGAAATCCAGTGCCCAAAGAACTTAAAGTGCACCCACTGAGTGTGGAGACCAGGAGATATAAATTAGAGATAGAAGCATTGCATTGATCCTTCAGACAATCAGTGGGGTACATGTGTACAATTCAATACTCTTTAGGTTAGGCTTCACTGGGCTTGTGTTGTGTGGACTGACATGGAAATGAATAGGGAGTTTCTCTGCTTGCGTACACGCATACACACACTACACTACCCAGATATGCATATCCAAATATAGGCTATTGTCATTGTATGGACTCAGCAGTCCCAAACGAATAGATGCTGGATCCACTGAAAAGCTGTTGAGAAGACAAGGTGGAAAAGCAGAGAAGAGCAAGTGAAGAAAATAGGAGAACAGTAACAAACAGGAATGTCTCTTTGCATCTGTTTGTGCAGGATTATGGAAGGAAATAATATAATAACTGTAGCAGAACAACCAGGTGTAAAAAAAAATTGAGAGCTGCTCTACTTAATGCTTGTTCTCTGCCCATTTACAATCCCCTAGATCTCCAAAGTATGTCAACAATTGCCTCCGCAGAAACCAAGGAGAGAAGAAAATCTTATGGCACCCTAAGCCTAAACCAAAATTATATATTTGAAATCCTTTCAATTTTTTTTTTGTTTGTTTTTGTTGAGTTCTGGGCTGCACCTGTAACAATCTGAACAGTCTCCAAAGATGAAATCACAGCCAATCTGGCATCTGATGTGCTCAAGACAAGACTCCAAAAAGAAAGTATTTGAAATCATGTTTAATAGTGTAAACCAAGGACTTGCTGGCCTTTTAATGTTTAGAATAGATAATAAAAATAGGTGAGCATATGTTTATAAATATGTCTTGACTTGGGTGTGTTTTCAGCCGTGACCGCTGCTTCATCAGAATGTGCTGCAGGGAGCTAAGCCTGTCTTTGAGATGACCAGCAGAGTCTGCTGCAGAGATCCATGGCTGTGTGACCAAACCACTGACCTCCAACCTGCCGCAGTAGCTTTACGAGCTAAATCGATTCTGCCACCCTCTCTACCTCTCCTCCCTCTCTCCATCTCATTATCTCTCCCTCCCTCTTTTCCTCCTCCTGTTCCCTCCTCCTCTCTAGATCTGTCCCTTGTGTTAATATGAAATAGGCTCGGGCTAGCTGTACATCACCTGTCTGTAGTCAGACGGGTGTTCCCAGGGGAGACAGGCCTGTCGTTGAATGATCTTCCTCTGCTTTTATCAACACATCTCAGAAGGTGCAGAAAGGAGCCAAGAAAGTTTCCCCTGGTGTTGTATTTGGGTGTTGTGTGACTTCTGTGTTTAAAAAGCTTAGGTGGGGCTCTTTCTATGCTTGCTCAAATGTGTTTATCTCCAAGGTTGCACAAAGCAAAGCCTAATCTGAGAGCTTTGTCTCCATTAGGGCAACAAATGAGTTTTCAATTCAATTTGCTTGTAAAACATATTGGAGATACAGAACAAATTAAGAACATAATGTATTGGTAAATGCAATATCTCGCTGAATTATCAGATCAAATAGAATAACAAATCAGTGTTTACAAGGTCTTCCAGGCCATTAAACTGTCCTGTGATGACATCCCAAAGCAGGATCACCATCAACATAGTCAACCTGGCACTAACCAAAGACATCTCTCTTCAGTTTAACCACAGTGATATTCTTTTGCACTTATTCACTGCAAGTGAATGCAGCACTAAAACAGTGGATTCTTAGAGTTTCATTCAAGCTTCAAGTGTTTGTCTGTGAGTGTGTGTGCTTGTGTTGTTGGCAAATGATGTGTTGGTTCACAGGGCAATGTGTGTTCATACAGAGTGGGTGTCCACACGCTCATCGAGCGGGTTGACCTATGCGGGGCATTATGCAGCCACAGAAAATGAGCTTTAACATTCTATTTCATCTTTCTCAATAAGGAGTTCCACAGTAGACACCTGAGGGCCCAAAGGTTAAAGAAAGGATCTCAGCCTGGAAATAGATTACACAATGCAGGCAAGCATGTAATTATCAAGACAATCATAAATTGTAGGAGAGGTGATAGCGTTTCCCTACTTTAGTAGTGTGGTGTTTGGATTTGTTGGTGGAGAGGAATTGGTTTTTCATCATTAACAATAAGCCTCAAAGGCGGCTCACCTCCATGGAAACAGGATAAATGTGAAGTACCACAGAAATACTATTCACAAGGAAATGTTGTGCATCATTAGCTGGTCTAATGCGAATTTCGTGACTGCAAATCATTCTTACAGGTCTTAAAGAAAGAAATGCTTCTGGATAGTTGTCTAAAAGGAAGCATAACAAAAATGAATACAACAGCTGTACACATTCTTTTCACATTTGGAGCTGTCCCTTTGAATACTGTTATTAACACTGTGCAAAGCATTATTCACTTTAAGATTTGAGTTGATACACTGTTAGAATTTATAATTCTGGGATAAATTGGCCACGTCTGACACAAAAACAAAATTATTCCAAACCAGTCATATTAAAGCAAACGCTGGCACTAACTGAAAATACTTTTCGGAAGAAGTGGCTGACGTGTGGTTTTCAGGCAGTTACTGCAAGTCATCTTCCAGGCCTACTGAGGCTGGACAGCTACTGGGTGTATTAAACCCACAAACTCTGTCAAGACCTATCACTGAATTGTATCATCTGCCTAATCATCTGTCACACCAGGAAATAAAAAAGTCGCCAAAGGGTTTCCCTTCTGACAATTGTAAGATAATCATGAGTATTATTTTTAGCAGAGAGGTTCCAAGGGTCTGACGCTTGGTCAAACTCCATTAGACTCATAAATGAGATTTTAAATGTTTAGAATTATTCAAATGTCTCAGATTATTTTTTTATGCTATTAGACTAATGAATGCAGGACTTCACAGCCTTTTGATGGTCAGACATAGCACATAGCTCTAGAGGGTAAAAAGATCTTGACAGCTGATTTGGCTCATGGAGCAACTCCTGAATTTCACCTACTCTGAGTGGCACTAACACATGTCACGGCTGGGTAGGTGTGAATTAAATCCGCCTGCTTGAATCCAATAGAGGCCCCATGCAGCCAAAGTGATCCACTAATGTTTTGTTCAGCCTAATTGAGCGTTGTCCCTTCAACTTAGCTTCACATCTTAATCCTCTGTCTAATAGCTACAGTTTTCCTGAAACTCTAATTACTTTGCTGGCAAAGTTACAGCAGAGAAATATACAACTTCAGGATGGCATGGGAGCAGGGAAATTGTCGTCAAACAGGAACTCCACAGATTCAATCTTATTTTTCCACAATTTCCATGAATATAAGAGGATGATAATGAATATTCAGATGTATTTGGCAGTAGGTCATTCCACATGCACAGCACTAAAATATGCCGAACAAACCACCACACCACAAATAGATTAACGCATACTCAAACACACACACAGCATATGTATGCACATAAAATTAATGTCTTTCCTGCCAGCCATCGCATTACAGTTAAGGACACTGTTCCTCTGACTTCAACATGCCAAAACCTCACACTTCCTAAACTTTCCCTTTACCTCACCTGCATAGAGAGTCCTGGCGGCAGACCCTCCGTAGTTCCAGGCAGTTAGGTTTCTCTTTATCTTTATAGGCGCAATCAGGCACGATGGTCTGCCTGCGTCGCTCAGCGCAGCCCACACTCTGGCAGGGGCAGAAGAGCAGCCGGTGGCTGAACTCAGTGGGCACACGGTCCAGGAACTGTCTCAGCGCTTTGTGGCAGCGTTTCTTACTGCAGCTTTCACCCTTGTTGGGGTCCTCCTTGCTGCAGGTAGCGATATAGGCAGAGCGTTGTTTCTTGCAGCTGCTGTTGAGGTTGCAGGCTTTGGCCGCATCAAGACAGGGATTGCAGTTTCTCTCAGCATCAGGACAGTGGAAGCCTTTCGGGGCTACTGTAAGCATCCCTGAGAGTGGACACAAAGAAGGACAACACAGTGACTTTACTGAGCCTAAAAGGAAAAGGGCTCCACAGTCCTTTGGATAAAACATTATCATTCTCTCTCAATCACTTGAAAACACTGATATTAGACATCACTATCACAGCAGATACACTTAGTGTTTAAACAAACTGAATGTGTTAAGTACAAACATAACAGAAGAATAAAAACCATTTTATTGATCCTGTGACTCAACATCACTAATCTGGTACCGTTTACAGTGGGCTCAGCTGCAAAGTATAATCAACAAACAAAATAATATTCCTTGCATGCCTGCCCACCTGGGACTTCACTGTCATTGTTAGTCTTGAACACTGAAAAAGACTCTTCAAAATCATTTGGACTTCTCAGTTTCTCCAACTAACAGAGAGCTGCTGGAGGGATGCCTGCAGCTAGCCTGCATCCATCCTAACTGAATTATTGATTCAGTCTATTTCAGGCCTTGATTGAAATATCAGTTAATTACACTATGATTCCAAATTGGATGTTAGTAAATTATTTATTTTCAGGTTTGATTATGATGTGATTGTCATAATAATATAAGTACATTATTAAGTTGTCATCTAATGTATTGAGTTTTACCTGAATTGGATGCAAGTTTTATTCAGTTATCTATTAGTCACTTGACTTATAATGAAGTAAGAAGGATATTTTAATTAACTAATGGGCATAATCTAAAACAAGCAATAGTCCATGGGAAAATACTGACAAGAATGTATATTAATGTAAATACTGGATGGTTGCCTAGGACACCAAATGTCGGGGGTGTCAGTAAACAGCCTTTATGATAATAATAATTATACCAAGGGTATAATTATATGTCCAGATGGTCTTGAGTTGACATTGACTAGAATAAACATTAAATACCATTTGCACAGAACTGATATACGTAGTTCACAAGGCTACTTATCTATCTATCTATCTATCTATCTATCCATCTATCTATGAAAGGCATATAAATATATGGTTAGCGCTGTTGCCTCACAGTAAGAAGGTTCCGGGTTCAAGGACCCAGCTGACCTGATGCCTTTCTGTGCAGAGTTTGCATGTTCTCCCTGTGCCTGCATGGGTTCTCTCCATACTCCAGCTTCCTTCCACAGTCCAAAGACAAGGTTGACTGGGGGCTCTAGATTGCCCGTGGGAGTGTGTGTGGTCATCTGTGTCTCAGTATCAGCCCTGTGATAGACTGGTGACCTGTCCAGGGTGTACCCCGCCTCTTGTATAGTGTCAACTGGGGATGGCTGCAGATTATTTGTGCAATGATTGCCTCTGCAACAAGCTCTGTAAAATTTGCACTAACGCAACACTTTGCCTGTAGGCACCAACAGATCCAGGACTCACCCTGGTGGGAAACAACACTAAATAGTGTAGCATCTGCCCAAAACATGCTAAGATCAAAAACGTAAAGACTCCATGATGTAACACATGCTGTGCAGTATCACCCACTTTCAAGTTTAACATCAAGTTTTTTTTTTTTCAGTATAATCACAAATTGAAACATTGTATCTAGCCCTCAGGCTGCACATCATATTTGTGGAAAACAGATTATGTCATTAGGTGAGTTTGAGTGTTCTGAGATACTGCATATACAGTAGCACAGTGGCAGTAAGAAAATAAAATACACAGCTTTTCTTGAGATATTCTGGTAATAAAGCAGAATCATGTTCACTCGTGGCACTCTCTCTTGCATTCAGGCTATATTAGAGAAGTTAACCTCCCTCCCCTGTAGATAATGATATTTCAGAGGTCGTGGCAGAATGGTGGCACCCAGAGAGATTCATCTCTTATTCAACAGAACCAATCTCACTCTGTGTCTATCAGACAGCCTGGAGCAGGAAGAAGAGCATTTATTTTAGAGTAGTGTGCTAGAAATGCTGTATTGTTTCCAAGTTGTGCAGTGCATGTTTTCAGCCCTAGAAATGTGGACATACAGAACACATCACACTATAACAATGGGAAAAATAACCAAACCCCCAAAACTAATGATTTTGTGGGTTCAGAGCAATTCAAATAAAACAAAACTCACTGCCAACGAACAATAGCAGAAGCAGAATATCAGGACTTAATCACAGAAAGAAGAAAGCACACCCGATCTATCTTTCTGTTAACAGGGCTTTCATTTATATCAAGGTAAATGTAGCAGCTGTTCTTATAAATAGGCAGAATGTTAGGAGACATGTCCTGAGTTCAAATGAGTTCCAAATAGTTCTGTCCTTTTCAGTGTTTGTCCCCCATGGAGAACTTTTCCTTCTTTGTTCGAATGATGAGCATTCAATTTTATGACTCTTATTAAAATAAGACATCCTTGTATCATCAAATGAAACTTGTTTATCCTTGTACTCTCTGAGGGAAGAGGATTAATACTTCACAACAAATGTGTGGTAGCATAACACACTCAGCCTTGTTTGTGACTAAAAAGGCAGACAAAAACATGCTAAGACCACTTACTTATATATTAAGGGTATGATGTGAGACAGTTAGCTGACCTTGCCAAGCCGGACCAAGCTTGGTTGATCTGTAATTACAATGACAGTCGAGAAGAGAGATGGCTTTGGCACTGGGCATGAAGAGATTGGTGCAGGCTACATTGCATCATTAGATTGCAGCTCCTACAGTAAATCCCCTTGGCTTTCTGCAGATTCTAATGTAGGCCACTGGGTGAGTCCAAAATGAAAAGAAAATCAGAGAAGGATGAGCTACTAAGATTTATCTGACCAAGCAGGACCTAACCCGCTTTTGAGGCTGCAGTGGTGGACGGTTTTTACTACCTCTGATTGGGGAGCTGAGATTGAATTTTGTGCTCAACTCAAACAGATGTCCTGGGGTGAACATCAGAAACAAAGCTCACTTGATAGCTCTGACGTGCTTACACACAAACAGGATGATAACAAGAGCAGGAGGAGAAGAGGAAGGAAGCAAAGAAGTGGAGACCGGAGGGGAAATGTGCAGTATCATGTTACATAGTTTTAATTGATTTTCCAAGTACGTTACAATAAACGTTTTCAGCAAACATATTCTGCTAAAATACAAGGATAAAGGCTGTGATAAACTAATAATACAAGATATAAAAATGGAAAAAGCTTTAAGAGGGGAGAGGAGACTTGAGCGGTTGATTACAGCAGTTGATCATGACTGAGAGAGATGAAATGAGAGGATACAGACTAACAGATTGGACAGCCACTTACAGAGACATACTAGAGAGCTTTCAATTAATCCAGCCTAATTCAGAAAAGATGTGCAACTCTTGCTCAGAATAATTAACCCAGCCCATCAGCAGCGCAATCAACGGCTCTCAGCATCACAATAGTCTACGCATATAGTATCTATTAACTTACCTTTCCTGGCTCTAGTACTATACGTTAATAAACAAGCGAGGCACTGATTGAAAGAATGAGCAGACAGATTTGGGTGGAGTGGGGTGCTGATTGATTAATAGATGCTATAAACATGGAACAATCAGTGTCATTAAGTGCATGTTTGTCACAAATAATGCTTTCCCCATGAAATCTTGGTACCTGTTGGCTAAAGTAATATGAATGGGGGCAAAGATGTTTTATGTAGTACTCCATGACGTATTAAATTAATATAGAAAATACATATTAAATTAATATAGAAAATACAAGATGAAAATTCATAACAAGATTATCAGGTAGAAATGGAAGATTTGGCCTTAGCTGACATCCATAAGACTACACTGTCATTGCTTTGATCCTGCCATGTGACTGTATACAGGGCTCTCTACTCTATAGGCATTACAAATTAGACACACAGATGGCAATGGAGTAAAAATAACAATCAGTTTTTTTCCCAGACATATAACATACACAGGGAAAGAAAGAAAGAGGGAAAGAAAGAACAAAGCAGATGGGGAAATCCAAGATAGGAGACACCCATAGGCAGACAGAGAGCAACAGAAAATGATCTGTTCAAGTGAGGAAAAAGACAAAGGGAAGATAGAGAGATGTGAGGGAGGAGGACAGGGCACATGAATGAGAGGAATTGGATAAAAAGTTCACATACGCTGTATTAGGATTTTGATGCTTTTGTTTCCCAAAGAACAAGGGATTTTCCTTCCCCTGTAATTGCTCTCTGTCAGCCTAGTTTGCGTTCTGCATTTCATATATCAACCCATACTCGAGGGACTCTGCGCTGCAGGGGGAAGTTCAGCCTAGGTTAAGAAGATGCTCTTGGCTTTGGGTATGTTCTCAGTAATTAGGAAAGGTGCCAAAGTCTGGATTTAATATGGCCCTGGGTGAGTGTGCAGGAGCTTGTTAGGAAGTCTTTAGTGCCAACCCTGAGGAGCATGTCAAGCATTTCTGTGTCAAAGGGCTCATCAGTGATTAGCTCTGTTCTCTGTGTCACAGTGGGGTTTCCAGAGGAGAGGAACAGGGTGCACTGGATCTATAGCATCATCTCCCTGTGTGTTACTGAGCAAGCTAGATAAGTAGATGTCATCAAAGGCAGAGTTTATGAAAATTTTCTGTTCTCATGGATCAAATTCACAAATTATAGACCGGTTTCTCTGTTGTCACAATTTTCAAAAATCCTGGAAAAACTCTTTAATAACAGATTAGATACATTTATTGATAAACATAAAATCCTCTGATTGCCAGTATGGTTTTAGGTTGAACCGATCGACATCTTTGGCCATTACTGACCTGATGGAGGACATTACAAGTGCTATGGATGAGAAGAAATACACGATAGGAATATTTATTGACCTAAAAAAAGCATTTGACACAATCAATCATGAATTATTAATGGACAAGTTAGAAAAATATGGGATCAGAGGAATGGTTCTGAAATGGATTAGAAGTTATTTGACACAGAGGCGTCAATTTGTGAAGTTGGGTGAATACCAATCGAGTGAGCTGGATATTAGTATGTGGAGTGCCTCAGGGTTCTGTTTTGGGACCTAAATTATTTATACTATACATTAATGATATATGCAAGGTTTCTGATTTAGT